AGAATTCTCAATGGAGGAAATCAAAAAGGCTGAAAGACACTTAAGAAAATGCTCCACATCCTTAGCTATCAGGGAAATGCAAATCAAAACAACTTTGAGATACCATCTTACCCCTGCCAGAATGGCTAAAATTAGAAACACCAGTGATGACTTATGTTGGAGAGGATGTGGAGAAAGTGGAACACTCCTCCACTGCTGGTGGGAGTGCAAACTCATACAGCCACTTTGGAGATCAGTATGGCGGTTCCTCAGGAAAATGGGAATTAGTTTACCACAGGACCCGGCAATCCCCCTCTTAGGCATATACCCAAAGGATTCACATCAATGCAACAAAGACATCTGTTCAACTATGTTCATAGCAGCACTATTTGTAATAGCAAGAACCTGGAAGCAACCTAGATGCCCTTCAATTGAAGAATGGTTAATGAAGATGTGGCACATCTACACAATGGAATACTACTCTGCAGAAAAAAATAATGGTATCTTGAAATTCGCAGGCAAGTGGATGGCACTTGAAGAAACCATCCTGAATGAGGTAACCCAGTCACAAAAAGAGGAACACAGTATGTACTCACTCATATATGGATTTTAGACCTAGATCAAATGATCACCAGCCTATAATTCACATCACCAGAGGAACTAGGATACAAGTTGTATTCTAAGAGATTCATATAAAGTCCCTCACAGAACTGGGAAGGGACAAGTCCCCCAGACCTCAGGTATAGTGGGGGAGGACAGCTAATGGAGAGAGAAGTAGGAGAAAATGAGAGGGAGGAGAGGAAGGCATGTGCGACTAGGAGGATTGAGCCTGGTTAGGAATGGAAAATAGGAAAGAGAGAGAGAGACAGAGACAGAGAGAGAGAACATAAAAGAGGGAGCCAATATTGGTTTGAAGATAAAGTTGAACACAAAGAAAGGTCGAAGGAACTACAAGACTGCTCCCAACTAACAATCTCAGCTTCCGTGGAAAGGCTATCATAAATGCCCTTCCCGGAGAGTGAGATCAACAACTAACTTCTCCATGGAGTCCTCAACTAATGCCTGTTGAAAACAGGAGCAAACACCCATACATAAACACTGAGTCAAACTAGAACCCAGAAGCAGATGGAGAGGACAAGACCATGCGGTAGAAGTACATAGAGACAGCTTACCTGAACAAGGAGGAGCTAAGGGCCACTAGACTGATAGCTGGGAAGCCAACAGGGGTCTGACTCGGACTCCCCTGAATATGGGTCTCAGCCAGAAGGTCTGAGCAGTCTAAGAGACCTCAGACAGTGGAGCCAGGATGTATCCCTGGTGCACAAAAGGACTTTGCAAACATATCCCCCATGGAGGGATAACTGCCTTATTCTAGAGATAGGAGAGAAGCCCTAGTCCCTACTTCACAGGACCTGTCAGATCTACATGACCCCAACTGGATGGCATTCCCCTACATATTGTATTGTGGTGGGGGGTTGGGAGGGGAGGGTGTTTAGAGTGCATGGGAGAGGGTAGAGAGGGCAAAGGGAGGGAAGGAGGAAGGGAGGGCTTGGGGGGAGGGAGGGAGGGAGGGAGAGGGAACTGGGATCGACATGTAAAATAATAATAATAAAAAAAAAAAAAAAAAAAAAAAACGCTTTGACTCCAAAATTTAAGTTGAAGAACAAGTTACTGGGGAAAAGTATTTCTATTTTTGTTTCCACAGAAAATGAAAAGATGTGGATTCCTTCCAGACTAATGTGGTTTGATCACACCAGACCGCCTGAAACAGAGTACAAGCTGATCCTACATTCCAAACAGCTGGACAAAACAGCCCTACAGACTACAGCTAGGATATCTGAATCTTCTTCGAATCCCCCAAGACAGCGCCCCTTACCAGCAGGAAGTAGTTTGGAAAGAAAGACGCCCAAATTCCCAAATATTGTGTATAAATGTTTGTTTTCATTTAATTGGACTTTGTTATATAAAATTAAATAAAAAATACTCTATATGCAAAAAAAAAAAAAAAAAAAAAAAAAACTGTCCTGGCTGTCTTGGACCTTGATTTGTAGACCAGTCTGGCCTTGAACTCACAGGGCTCTGTCTACCCCTGCCTCTGCCTCTGAGGTGCTGGAATTAAAAGCATGCACTACCATGCACTACATGAAGAAGTAAGAAGTCAAAGAAGACTGGAGTTGAGAAAAGAAAGGAAAAGAATTAGATTCCAAGAGAAGAGGAAGCCAGGAAGAGGAAAATCCAGTCATAGTTTCAAGTTAGTTAAGTTGTTCTTGCTGATTCAAGATCAGGCTAAAGTAATGCCTGGCTTTAAGAGCAGCAGGTTCCAACCATACCAAATAGGTTTTGATAATTAAACATGTGCAATCTGCAACTCAGAGCTTGTCACCTCTTGGTAGATGTGGCTCTGAATTCAGCTCATCAGATGAAACATCAGTCCTTCCCAGAGGTGTTCTCGGGACTGTTCAATCATAAAATGAGTCATTCACACCCAAATAAGTCCAGAACTCTAATTTCTGTGACGGTCTCACATATGACCCTAAGGTCATACACTTCCTCAGGAAGCACGTGTCCTACACCCCCCAGTGTGTTTGAATACACAGGGCTGGCTTGAAATGATTGAGGACCTTTTGAGTAATTCACTTTTTTCTAAGGAAATTCTAAGGTTGTGTTTTGTAGGTCTGAGAAGATGTGACAATGTCAGGTTTGAGTGTGGAGTTGTCACCACTATCTTCATCCCCAGTTGTTTCTAGTGGGGTAGCAATTGCTGATGCCTTGCAGTTTTTAATGAGGGAAGTCATCAAATAAATTCTCATGGGGAAAAAAATGACAATAGATCTACTTAAAGTGCATCAATGTCTCAGAAAACCTTACAAAAAAAGAAGAAATAAAGTGAGGGAAAGAGAGTGCTGAAACCCTAAAGGTAGGATAGAAAAAGGCAGCACTGCTGGAGCCAGAACAAAAAGACACTGCACTTTGAGTAACAACATTTCAAGTTGAAGCTTTGTGCTACTTGACAAAGGTTGCCTTGACAACAAATGTGAAAAGTATTGTCATGTATTTGTGGAATAAGGATTACCTTATCTTTTTTGGAGATTGTTAGCCTTGTTTTAATCTCTTAAGATTATAGATTCACTCAGTCCTCAGTGATAGGTCATGAGAGAACACAAGAAAGCAGGAAGTGACTTGACTAAGTAAAAAGGACTTGACTATTAAGAAAACTAGGAGCATATTTAGCATCAGCCCAGATCTGAAGACTTTCTGGACTCTTCAAGAGAGAAGCTTGAGTTCTGAAACAGAAAGTGATGCCTTCGTGCATCTGGTTCTCCAAAAACCCTCACACTTTACTGTTGGTAAAGATGGTATCCTAGATGCCACTAGGCCCTTAGAAAAACTGTTGTACCTGGAAAGAGTTCAGGAGACAGGTCAAGTGGGCTCCCATTTGACTTCTGGCACTAATGGGACATGTGGCTGTGAGCATTTCTGAACCTTAGAGTCTTCCTCTAAAATGTAGTAGACATCACAGGATTCTGGCCATTCTTTTTCCACTATGGAGATAGTGCCCAGGGTCTTCTGGATAATAGCTAAGTGCTCTCTCCAAGGCTATGTGCCCCAGTGCTGGTGAATTGACATGAAGTTCCATATCAAGTACAAAGCTTAGGACCCAGGACACTGTTCCAGGGTACAAGCTTCTTTCCCACTTTTATCCAAGATCCCTAAAGTTATGGAAACTAGTAAGAGATGCTGCTGCTTAGGATCTTAGGTACAGAAGCAAAGCCACACCAAAACTTAGATTCCTTTTTCTATTTGAGTCATAGAAACTAACTGCATGATTAGCAAAATAAAAAAAAAAAAAAAGCCCATGTCCAGAACCTTCCCAGAGCCCTGGAGGAGCAGGTGGGAGAATAAGGTGGAAAATCAAATGGCCAGATGGAATAGAAAGAAACAAAGTCCAGGCCACCATGGGAAGGTGGAGCAATAGTCTAGAGCCATTATTATAAGGGAAGGGTTTGCCATGTCATGTCACCCTTCTGTTCTCTATAGTTTGTTTACCTCCATTTTGTAGTAAAATAAACCTTAGAATTAGTCAAGATCCTTGTGAGTTGTTGGGGAACAGTTCCTTACCTCAGTCATTTAGATGGAGATGGATGTTTAGGGATTTGGGTTTGGGTAGGAGGGGACATTACATGACAGTACAGTCAAGTAAAATAGGAGGAACCATAAGGAGCAAGACAATGGGGGTGTCCTTAGACAGACTCATAGCAGATGAACAGTTACTACCTCATGGAATAAATGCTTAAGGTGATAATGCCACATAAACCAGACTTCCCATTCATTAGGATTGTTCTTTTCTTTGCTTCATTCTGAATTAGCTCATCTTTATTACATTAGTCCTTTTCTCCAAGTCTTTCTTACTTTTCTCTTTCATGTTCTCTCCCAACAGAGGGAGTAAAGAGTATAAGCAGGTACATGTTGTGACATTAAGGCCAGTATGCTAGAAGCACTTACCCCCTCCCTCAACACACACACACATAGGTGTATACTCTTTTTTGTTTGTTTGTTTTTCAAGACAGGGTTTCTCTGTGTAGCCCTAGCTGTCCTGGAGCTAGATCTGTAGACCAGACTGGCCTCAAACTCATAGAGCTCCTCCTGCCTCTGCCTCCCAAGTACTGGAATTAAACAGTACCTGCTGCTATGGGATTACTTGAACAAGAGTTCTAATGATCCTTAGTACTCAGAGCTTCACCACCTCCATTTCCTGGAACTTCAGTGAAGTCTATCATCCCTGAGGACACATAATGCCTCACTTTAAATGCCTCACTAAACAGACAAGTCACAGACTGACAGTCCCTCAGATTATACTTATTGTCTACCTGCTGGGAACCTAAGTTTGAGAGTTGCTGGCACTGCCTATCAAAATTATTTCTGGAACTCTCTAGGGTCCAGAATTCCCAAGTGGAAATGGTGAGTAACTTACCTTACATCCCAGTCAATCTGAAAAGTAAAGGCAATGAAAACATGGGTACCTTCTCTCCTTGGAATTCCTCTTTCCATCTGAGCCCTGGAATGTTGCCTTTATCTTCAGGATCAGAGAGATGTTAATGACATACTTCCGCTCAGATTCAAGCAGCTCCAGAGCCACTGTCTGTCTTTTTGCTTTAAAACAAACCCAAGAGGATTTTTTTTCTGTTAAATGAACTCCATCCCAAACACTAAGTTAGGCAAGAAATCAATAAAAACACATGGAAAATTTCAGTTGGTAGTGTATCCCCTAGCATCACATAAACCACACTTGGTGGCCCACGCTTGTTATCCAGGAATTGAAGGTGGGAGGATCAGAAATCCAAGGTCATCTTCAGATATTTAATCAGCCTGAGCCCCTTGAGACAAAAAAAGGAAGAAGGATGTGAAGTGGAGAAGGTAGAAGAGAGAAAGGAATCAGCATGATGAAAAGCAGAATGGAAGCATGAGATTCACCCAGCAAAGCAAAGGACACAAAATCGTGTGTCTGCAGACAGAGAACCTGCTAAGAAACAGTAGAGGCTGAGGGACTGGAGACAGGAGTGCCCAGAAGCAATATGAGAATCTGCATATGCTGCAAGAGCCTCCAGATAGCACTTGCTGACTGGTGCATCATGGCTTCACCTCTTCGCCCAATGAGAAATGGGAAAAGCAGCTCTAGGGAAGCACTAGCCTGAGCTGAAAATGTGAAAGGCAGAGTGAGTGGCTAATGCAAAGGAAAAACGTTTTGACCATATTCCCCTCCAGTTCCCAGAGTGCAGCAGCCAGGCTTCAACACTCTTGGCAGCAGACTGGGAGCCTACCACTTGATACATTGAACTTCCCAAATAGGACAGGACACCCTAAGACATGGACATAAAGAGATCAATTACCAATATGTAAATTTTTACCTAATTACCATATTTATAATGAAGCTCACTATTGACAAACCAATAATATAAAATTCCAGGTTTTTGGGAGGGAGATCTTTATTTATTTATTTATTTATTTATTTATTTATTTATTTATTTGTGGGGATAATCTTTATTGAACACATAAATAATTAAGGATACTGAAACATTTGAGTAAGAATATACCATAGGAGAGAGAAAACAAATACAAATGTTTGTGAAAATTAAATCTTACAATTAATATTCTCAAAAAAGATATGCAAAATATTCTAACCTCTTAACAATTACTGGATGTTATTATTTTAGGATTTGAAGATGCTTTATTTTTTTATCTAAATTAGAAACAAAAATAAATCCCAGTTCCCTTTCCCTCCCATCCTCCCATGCCCCCCACCAACTCCCATCTTATCCCTCTTCTGCTACATAGAAAGGGTGAGGTCTTCCACGGGGGATTATCAAAGGCTGTCACATCATTTTGGGGAGGGCCTAGCAGTATTTATCCCTAGTATAGGAATGGACATTGGGAGCCCATTCCCCATAGAGGGATACTCTCTCAGCCTAGACACATGGATGTTATTTTTTAATAGTTTACTTTTATGTTATATACATTGGTATAATATATATATATATATATATACATACATACACACACACACACACACACACACACACACACACACACACGAGGGTTGTTGGATCCCCTGGAACTGGAGTTTATAGACAGTTGTGAGTTGCCATGTGGGTCCTGGGAATCGAACCTGAGTCTTCTGGAAGAGCAGCCAGTGCTCTTAACTTCTGAGCCATCTCTCCAGCCCAGTGGTAGAGTTTTTGTTACATTGAGAAAAACAAGAATCTTGGGACTGGTTGTGAACTTGGGTCCTTAAGAGCCAGTGCTCTTAACCATTAAGCTTTCTCTCTAGCTCTGGATTATGGATTTTTAAAACTGTGATAATGACAAGCAGTGAAGTTAATAAAAAAGAACTAACTACTAAATGAACTATATGTAACAATGTAGATGAATCTCAAAGACACATATTGAGAGAAAGATACCAGGCAAAAAAGAATACACAAAATATTATCCCATTTATATGAAGTTCAAGAACAGATGAAACTATATAGTAGTTACAGTAGTTCTTTACATAGATGTTGACTAAAATTTAGCATGAGAGAAATTCCTAGCATAACAGAAACATATATGTTGATCTTGGTAGTGATCACATTCATATTCATATGAAAAAAGTTAAGCTGAAAGGGTAAGTCTATTCTCCTTAAAGGTATGGGCCCCCCACTGGGTCAACAATGCTCGAGTGAATGACCCCCATAACCTGGAGCTTATGGGCAGCACAAACTGGATATTTTATACAAACAAAACAAAATAAGGACACAAAGTTGTCACAGGGTAGAGCGATAAGGGGTGGTCCTGGTAGGAGTTATGGGGGAAGGGGGTTAATAAAATATTTCTTTAAATTCATAAGCTGACTAGTAATAAATGATTGGCATATGGCAAATTGTTTTTTAAATTTCTTTATTTATGTGCATTGGTGTTTTGCCTGCATGTATATCTGTTTGAAGGTGTTAGATCCACTGCAACTTGAATTACAAATTGTTGTAAGCTGCCATGTGGATGCTGGGCATTGAACCTGGGTCTTCCGGAAGAGCAGCAAGTACTCACAACTGTTGAGCCCAGCAAATTCTATATTGCTGACTAAATAGATATTCTCCAAGAATCATAGCTTTTTAAAATTTTTTTTTACTGAAGAATGTCATAAATACCCAGGATCAAGGTGGGGGTCCCACTAGGGTATGTGACCGCTGCTGAGTCCCTTCACCTCTGTAGGCATGAGGGGCTTTATCCTGAAAAGATACAAGGTGGTATCACTCCATCTACACTGCCAGAGTTCTGGCCCTTCTGTTCCAAACTCTCATACACCTCATATTTCCACCCACATTCCCCTTCAGAACTTACCAGCTAAAGAGGTTTCACATAAAACATTTTCCAAGGTACTGTGTCTGCCCTGGCCAGCCTCCTTGAGTTTATCTGGATGATCTTTTGTGACATATTCCTCGACCCATTCTTTGCCATCCTTAGGCTGTCTCCACAGGGCAGGTGTGTGATGGCCCTTGGACTGGATCTCAGCTGAGAGAGAAGGCTTATTAAGGTTTTCATCTGCTTCTGGATTTGTTGGGTTCACTCCTGAAAAACAATGCCTGCTAGAAAGAACTTTTTTTTAAGATTTTCTTATTTATTATATATACAGTGTTCTGCCTGCATGCCAGAAGAGGACACCAGATCTCCTTATAGATGGTTGTGAGCCACTATGTTGTTGCTGGGAATTGAACTCAGGACCTCTAAAGAGAAACCAGTGCTTATAACTTCTGACATCTCTCTATCCCTAAGAACTTTCTTTTTTGAAAAAGAAAATAGTGTTTGTTACTAACTCTTAGCTAATACACTTAGCTCAATAAAGGGTTAAAAATTTCCCAACCTACCTCTCTCTTTTTTTTCTGATCTATATGTCTTCTGAATTTTTTACATGGCTGCTACAAAATAAGGACTTTTTTTAAAATCTCAGAGTAGTGCATGCTTGTAATTAATTTGGGAGATGGAGGAGGGAGGATCAGTAATTTAATGTTATCCTTAGTTTTGTAGAAAGTTCAGGGCCAGCCAGGCTACATACATGAGACTGTGACTCAATCAACTAGACCACCAGACTAGAAAATATATAGCATAGTATGATTTAAAGCACAAGTCTGACTCCATGTATCTACTTACTTTCAGGTAAACATAAGAGATGTCAGCAGCACTGTTAGAAGGAAGAACAGAAAGAAGAGAGGGAAGGGTACCAAACACATCTGGGTGGTGGTGGGCATGTTTTGTTTGTTATTTAGTACCTTTATCCTATGGATGCTTAGTTGAAAGAAACAGAAAAAGGAAAGAATGGAGGGAAGATTAAATAATACATAAATTTTGGTGATTATCAATAAAGTAAATTTTGGATTAAACTATAAAGTATGTGATGCAAGAAAAATTTATAGATGGATGGTAGTGGCACACACCTTTAGTCCCAGCAGAAACAGGTGGGTCTCTGTGAGTTTGAGACCAGCCTGATCTATGGAGTAAATTCCAGGACAGGCTGCAAAGCTACAGAGAAACCCTGTCTCAAAAAACATGAAAATAAAAATCATTGAGACTTCAGCGAATGTTAGCTATTTAGTAATTGGAACAAGAAAGAATTAAAAATAATACTACTGATTTGTTCTTAAAAGTTACTAGCTCTCCTCATTCCATGATTTAAATGTGTCGCTACTCCAGCACATGTGTAGGAATATAAGTAAAAACAATGCTCATCTTTGTCAATACTATGATTTGAATGTGAAGTTCCCTCACAAAAGGTCATGGACTGAAGGTGTGGTCCTTGACACAAGCAGTGGTCAGAGCGGGGCTTTATGGAAGTGGCTGGATAAGGAGGGTCTACCTCACTAGTAGATTAATTCAACAACGGATTTCATTTTTAGACTATTGGGAGATGATGAAACTATGAAAAGTAGGGCATACCTGAGAGAAATTGGTTACTAAGGATATGCCCTAGTAAAGGGTACCTTATCCTCAACTCTTTCCTATTATTACCTCTGCTTCCTGGGTGCCGAGAAGTAAGCAACATCTTAAGCCACAGGCTTCCCATCATGCTGTTCTGTTTATCTAATATCTGTGGCAACAAAGTGGTGACCTTGGATTGAAACCTTTGAAACCAGGAGCTAAAATAAGTGTCTCAAGTATCTGTCAGAGTAAAAACTGATTAACATGTTTGAGTCCTTTCCTACTTAGCTCAGGATGAGACAGTAGAGCAGGGAAGGTGCCTGGACCAGTTCATTGACTCAGCAGGAAAAGGGTTTGTCTTGCAAGCCCAAAAACCTGAGTTCAATTCCTAGAAACCATAAGGTGGAATTAGAGAACCAACCCCACACAGTTATCCTCTGACCTCCACACCTGTGCAGTAGCATGTGGACATGCATGTCATATGTGCATATCATTATAAGAACTTAAACCAAGGCCAAAGAACGAGGTCTCAGCTGGAGAGTGCCAGTTTCCAGTGAGATCCCTCTATCCTGCAAAACCTTCTCGAGTTCCAGCTCAGCCCTTGTCCTCTTCCGCCAGCTATTGGCCAGAGGTGAGTCTGGGCCCAATCGGGGCTGCCTGTCCCCTACAACCTCTTTTCCCCCCTCCCCTGCCCAAACTCCCTGGTTTGGCCCCTGATCCTGCTGCTCCTGTCTCCGGTCCCCATCGAGAGCACCCTTGGAGCTCTGATACACCCCCACCTATCCCCACTGCCAGCCTACCCCCCCTACACTGTGCCCTACCCCACCCACGGTCCTGCCGTGGAGCCAGGATGTATCTATCCCTAGTGCACAAAAGGACTTTGCGAACATATCCCCCATGGAGGGAAAACTGCCTTAATCTAGAGACAGGAGAGAAGCCCTAGTCCCTACTTCACATGACCTGTCAGATCTACATGACCCCAACTGGATGGCATTCCCCTACATATGGAATTGGGGTGGGGGGATGGGAGGGGAGGGTGGTTAGAGTGCATGTGAGAGGGCAGAGAGGGTAAAAGGGAGGGAAGGAGGGAGGAAGGGAGGGAGGGAGGGAGGGAGAGGGAACTGGGATCGACATGTAAAATAATAAATTAAATTTTAAAAAAATGCTTTGACTCCAAAATTTAAGTTGAAGGACAAATTACTGGGGAAAAGGATTTCTATTTTTGTTTCCACAGAAAATGAAAAGATGTGGATTCCTTCCAGACTAATGTGGTTTGATCAAGCCAGACTGCCTGAAACAGAGTACCAGGTGATCCTACATTCAAAACAGCTGGACAAACAGCCCTACAGACTACAGCCAGGATTTCTGAATCTTCTTTGAATCCCCCATGACAGCGCCCCTTACCAGCAGGAAGTAGTTTGGAAAGAACGACGCCCAAATTCCCAAATATTGTGTATAAATGTTTGTTTTCATTTAATTGGACTTTGTTATATAAAATAAAATAATAAAATAAAATAAAAAGAACTTAAACCAAGAGAAAGCACTTACCAGGACCCATCATTCCCTTCACATTGCCATCTCCTACATGAACAGATCTGGACTCTTGGGCTGCAGAGAAAGGAAAGCTTAATTCATCATCCATTCTACCAAATGGATCAATCACCTTCTATGTCTCAGAACATGGACAGACTCACATATTTTATAGTTTCATGATCAATGAGAAAGACAGCAAGGGGGTGATACAGTACAGTGGGGCCAAAGCTAGTCTCTCAACTGTTAATGATACCCACTAAGAGATACCTTTAATCCCAGCACTCAAAAGGCAGAAGCTGGCAGATCTCTGTGAATTTGAGGCCAGCCTGGTCTATAGAGTGAGTTCCAGGACAGGTTCCAAAGCTACACAGAAAAACCCTGTCTTGAGAAAGGAAGGAGGAAGGAAGGAAGGAAGGAGAAAGGAAGAAAGAGAAAGAAAGAAAGAAAGAAAGAGGAAGGAAGAAAGGAAGAGAGATAGGAAAGAAAGAAGGAAGGAAAAAAGAACTCAATAGGTTAATACTCAAGGTTCTTCAAGTAGTAGTCAGCATACTGTAAGAGTCAATTTAATGTTTACCCATGATTACTCTTGTGATACCACAAGAGGATGGCAGTGGTGATGACAATGACAGTGAAAGGAGCAGATTGATTAGTGGCCCTCTACTCTGCTTACCTTTCCAATGGTGTAAAAGCCCAAATCATTCTATGAGCACATAGTCGTAGAGCATTTCTCTGTACCCACACTTGCTGCTTCCTTTTTGAATTGCCGTTCCTACCACCACCCCATCCACTCTGCTTGAGACCATTGGCTTCTTGTTATTCTTCTGAGTATGTTAGACAAGTTCCCATCAGGAGAGCAATGGGGTCATAGAGGCTACCTCTGCTAAGCTGCTGATTCTTCACTCAGATCCGTAGATGTCTGGTGGGTGAATGAAAACAGAGTAGAAGCCTGGTGTCCCTGCCTTCCTATTGCATCTGTCTCCTTGCTGCCTTAAACCCAGGTCAGATTCCTGTTCAACTCTGGGTATAGACATGATCATTTATTGAATGCCTGCTTAAAACTCAAAAATACATGGTGTTTTAGTCCAAAATTTACCTACTAAGCTCTGCTTGTCCTCCTTCAAGGCAGAGAGCATCAAGATAAGAGTCAAGTGTTTTCTAGACTTATAGGGACATCAACAAACAATGAACCAGCAGCTTTTACAACACCCCATTCAGAACCACTGGAGTGGCCCCTAAAATTTCCCTGTAATTGCCATAAACCTGAAGGGGTTTTCTAGTGAGTACCCCAACTAACTCTCCTCTAGGTTTTTTTTCCCCCTCTGAGTCACTTCACCTCCCCAGCTTATCAAAAGTTCCAGAAACAAGAAGCCATGCAGATCATCAATCTCTTTACCTCCAGCAAGACCCTCCAAGCCAGAGTACAATTTCACCAAGACTCTACATATGATCCCCACTGCCATCCTCTGTGTCTTCCTCAATATTGTCCTAGAGCTATTGTTGGTTCTAAGGCAAGGCTTCAATGGGCGGAAGTGGCACACATCTTTAATTCCATCACTTTTGAGGCAGGGGGAGGTGGATCTCTGTGAATTTGAGACCAGGCAGATCTACAGAGTGAGTTCCAGGACAGGCTCCCAAGCTACACAGAGAAACCCTGTCTTTAAAAAAGGAAAGGAAAAGAGAGGAGAGGAGAGGAGAGGAGAGAAGGAAAGGAGAAGGGGGAGGGGAGGGGAAGGGGAGAGGAAAGGAGAAGAGAAGAGAAGAGAAGAGAAGAGAAGAGAAGAGAAGAGAAGAGAAGAGAAGAGAAGAGAAGAGAAGAGAAAAGGCTTTGGATGATAACCCATCTTTGGAGCCTCACTGAAATAAGACCCTTTTCCTACTTCACCACTGTTTGTCTCTCTGATTGGAACACTGAGACAAGCAGTAACCTGATGTGGATGAACTAATAAAGAAGAGACAAAGGGAGACAAATAGAGGGATGATCTTATGTCAATGTCCAGAGGCCACAGACTATATTGATATAGCAAGGTCTAAAGACTATTGGGGTAGATAGACTATAGCGGTAGAAAGAGACAACCAAAAAGAGAAAAGCAGAGTTTTATGTATATAGTTAATACATGGCCTTGGAAACTGTGCAAAGAAGTCCAAATTTGCAGGTGACACACACAGAGGTAAGTGGATCTCTGTGAATTTGAGGCCAGCCTGGTCTACAGAGTGAGTTCCAGAATATCTAGGGCTACACAGGGAAACTCTGTCTTGAAAAAAAAAAATCAGAAGAAGAAGGGGGAGGAGAAGAAGAAGAAGAAATTTAGACTTTGATTCTGATAGCAGAAAACAAAAACAGAAATTTATGAGTAGGCAGAAAATAGAAGGAAAATCAAAGAAGCTCAGTATCAGCCAACAAAAGAAAACATTTTGAGAAAGCAGGTATCAAAGATATCAGAAGACTATATAGGGAAGGAGGGCGGGAGAGATGGCTCAATGGGTAAAGACACTTGTTACCAAGGCTGGCAAACTGAGAATCAATTCCCAGCAAGAGGGAATTGATTCTCAAAAAGTTCCATCTGATGGCGACATACTCACCCCAATAAATTAATGAATGTAATTTTAATTTTTTAAAATTCTATGGCACAAGAACAGGTAAGGAAACAGCTTTAGTGGAGTTGTAAGGGTAGGTGCCAATATTAGGATGGTTGAATACAAAGGACATAATTAAGAAGAAATAGATGGTGGAACATCATCATTCAAAAAAGTCAACTTCTAGACTATCAACTTAAGTGGGTAGTAAGTAGGGACAATGCCTAATATGTACAGCATATAAAAGAGGTTAGCTATCAGATGTTCTGAGCAAGAAGAGGGATTGGGAGTATAATTGCATTTTTAAAAATCTTCTTGAAGGCTAGAAGAGTTCAAAGGGCTTACTTAGCTCTGTAAAATGATATTTTCAGGGGCTGGGGAGATGGCTCAGCAGTTAGGAGCCTTGTTGCTTTTGCAGGGGAAAAGGTTCAGTTCCCAGCACCCATATGATGGTGCACAATCCCCCATAACTCCAGTTCCAGGGTATCCATCTCCTGCTGCTGACCCCCACGAGCACCAGGCATGCCTGTGGTACACATACATGTCATCAAAACATTCATACACATAAAATAAAATAAAGCTGAAAAAAGAGTATTATCTCATTTTTAAATGACATTTCAAACTTTTTAATTCTAATGTATATGAAAGAAGTTTCACATCAGAGGACACACATCTGAAGGGTATCTTTTAAAATGAAGGGCAGAGCTGGAGAGATGACTCTGGGGTTAAGAGCACATACTACTCTTGCAGAGGACCTGAGTTCATTTCCCAGAGCCCACATTGGGCACCATATAACTGCTTGTAACTCCAGATCTAGGGGGACCTGATATCTTTTACATACACATACCCACATATGGACACATATACATAATTTAACCTAATTAAAAATAAATATTTTTAAAATAATGAAAAGAAGGGTTAGCCATTTGTCATAAATAGCATCTAAGATGGTTCCCCAGTTGTCCTTACCCCTAGGCATCCCCATCCTGTGATTCCTTTCTGTGAGTGATGCTGGATTCTGTGATTATCTTCTGAATAATAGAATATGGCAAGAAGGCAGAGCTTCTTCTTCCAAGAGTAGGTTATAAAAAGCCACAGCTTTTGTTTTAAGTATGCTGTTAGACCAATACCCCGGGCAGGGGGTCGAGGGTATCCAGGTGCCATGTTAGAATGCCCATATCACAGGGACTGCCACATCATGTAGGTAGTCTGAAAGATGTCCTCTGAGTACAGCCCTCATATGAAAACAGCTGTGGCCAGCACTTTGATGGCAACCTACCTCATGACAGATGTAAGTAAGTGGTACCCAGGTCAATTGTGCACTCAGAGAAACTGAGGTAGTGAATGTTTGCTGCTTGAAGCTACTGAATTTGGGGATAACAGACAACAATCACACCATTGTATTATTTAAAAAGGATAAACCAAATTTTCTGAGGGTTTTACACTTTAACCCTGAATTGTAATCTGAGCTACCACCAACTGTATGCATGATGTCTTAGGAAAGACAACATTCCAAATTTTTTGCAGCAGTGGGAAGAACTAGGAGAGAAGGAGAGGTTGCCAGTGAGCAGCAGATCATTTAAATCCAGCCTGTGAGATGGCTCAGCACAGAAAAGTACTTGTCATACAAGCCTCATGACTTGAATTTGATCTGAAATTCATGGTGGAAAGAGAAGCACAATCAAAAGTTGTGCACTAGCCTCCATACTCATGCTGTGGTACATATTCACTTGCAGTTATACAAAATAATAATAGTAATAGTAATAAGAAGAAGTAAAAATTTTTAAATAAATAAATGCATGTGGGCAATGCAGTCATCTGGATTACCTGTTTTCAGTGGGGAAACTGGAGTAATAAATCCCACAGACAAGCTGGGAGGTGGTGGCACATGCCTTTAATCCCAGCACTCAAGAGAAAGAGGCAAGAGGATCTTTGTTAGTTCAAGACCAGCCTGGTCTACAGAGCTAGTTCCAGGACAGCCAAGGCTACACAAGAAGCCCTGTCTTGAAAAAACTTTAAAAAAAAATCCAATGAACTTATTCCTGAGGGCTGTCACATATCATATAGAGATGCACAAATTTGCTTTGCAAATCTATTTTTTAAGATTCTATCTTGTGAGTACACACAGCTGCCCCAGACCCAGTACTTACTGATCTGACTGCTCATCCAAGCCCACATTGTGCTCTAAACCTGCATGGTCAACTTGATATATCTTGCTCATCACATCATAGAGCCAAGAAAACAGGACCACTGGTAAAAATCCCCTCTCAGATGGACTGAACAACTGTTATCCAAGCTGCATTCACTGGCTACAAAAAGAGGTACACATACATACAAGCAAAAGGCCAATAATCAAGCAACTCTGTACTCAGAAGTTCACCAAGTGAAAGGCACTTGTCCTAGGATTCAAGGTTGTTATTCATAACACACTCACTGTCTATGAATCAGTAAAGCAAGTTCTTCTGGGCTATGAGGATAGAAAATCATCAATCCTACTGTTGAGGTGTTTACACTTGATTGAAAAAAATCATTGAGTCTACCTTTTGAGGACTTCATAAGACCAAAACAAGGAGAGGGGGATTCAAACGATGGGAATTTCTACATTCATTTTTCTTTATGTGGGTCTTTTGTTGGGCACTCTTGAGAATATAATAATGTATCAAGTTTCGATTTGTTTTATTTTTCCTAATTTGAGCATAGGTACAGAGTCACAACCCTTGAAAACCAACTCCTTTGGTGCTGCCAGTATGCCATCTTGTGTCGTATTTCTCACAGTCATGAAGCACTAGCCTGGCTTTTCCAGAGAAACATAGATACTGAATTACACTACCAGTAAATAACATTTTAGAGTGACTATTTAAATATATCTAGTTCTCTCATGGTTGGTATAGTATTGATTGCATTAAATTATTTTTTATCTAATTGACACTTAGAAGAAGCCAAATTAGTATTTTCCATAAAACAAAAACATCTAAAAATGGGCAGTCTTTCAGGAACCAGAGGTCATCTGATGCCTTCCAAAGTCTAGATAACCAGGGAAGTTCTGGGCAGTATTTTATTTTCTTCTGAGAAGGATGCAAGACGTGAGTCCATTCCCACTTTTCTCAAGCCCTGGGAATCAGGAAGAAAGAAGTGTGGTTAATTCCCCATGGTTTATAAGCTGTACCTTTTTCATATGTCTGAGAAGGCAAAATGTTGGTGAAATCCTCACTGGGGATACCAGACTCAGGGACATTGATAGAGCGGAAGGGGCTTCCTTGTGTTTGTGCAGGCACAGATGCAGGTCCGGCTTGTGTGCCATGTTCTTCCTTTTGGGCTTTCCTAGCAAAGGAAACAACAGAAAGGATGTTTTGGTTCTTAACACCCAGTAGATTAGAGGGAGGATCAGTTCAGGATCATGTCAGAGAATGAGAGGTTTTTTGTTTGTTTGGTTTTTTTAAATGTGTTGCCAAGACACACACAGGATGAACCATATAAATATTTTTTTATAAATTATAAATGGTTCAACTATTGATAAATCACTTCTAATTGTAATGTTTTCATTTTTATTTTTCTATTACTGGCTTCCCTATCACCAGGATCTTTGGTTTTGTTTTGATGTTTGTTTTTGTCACTGGGTCTCACTATGTAGCCCTAGACAGTCTGGGGCTTGCTATGTTGACCCTTGCTCTGTAGCTCCTCCTGCCTCTGCTATCTGCTAGGATTAAAGGCATAATCACCATGCCTGGCTCTCATCAGGGTCTTTAAAATTTGCAGTGTTGGATACTTGCTTGGGATGATTTACACTCACTTAACAACTCAACGCCAAATACCAGAAAACAGTAGCATACAAGGGCACATAGGCAGCATATAAGCATATGTGGGTATGTTTCATGCATGTGGCAGCCTAGACTTGAAGTTGTGAATTGTCCTCCATCACCCTCTACCTTATTTCATTGATGCAGAGTCTTTCAATCAAACCCAAAGCTCACCCATATGACTAGTCTCACTAGCTAGATTACACCTCCACATAACATTTATGTGGGTCCTGAAAATATATGCTCTGGTATTCAAAAGGTCTTATGGATACATGACAAATGTGCAGTGTGTGGGTGTACATGCCCATTTGCCTGCAAAGGCCAGAAAAAGGTATCAGATTCCCTGGAGTTGGAGTTACAGGCATTTGGGAGATCTGATGTAGTGTTGGGAATTGAACTCTGGTCCTCTGTAAGAGCAACCAGTGCTCTTGACCACTGGTCCATCTCTCCAGCCCCAGTATTAACCAACTTGTACAGCTTCATCTCTTCTAACACAGGCTGATCTATGCTGCTCAGGAGCCCACTCCTTATGTGCTAATGGCTGGAAGTTTACTTAGGGCCTCTGTGCAAGAGCCATTATTTATGGGTTTGCCTGGGCTAAATGTTCTCAAGATACTCACTTGGCTTTAACCTTTCGAGATTCTCTTCTCTTCTCCTGTTGAAGCTGTTCGATTTTCTGCTGCATTTCTTCTTGTTTGGAAGTGATGGCCTGAATCATGGACATTGCATTGCTCAGCTCTTCCTACAATAAGAATTGCTACATTTTAGACTGGCACATGGGTGTAGCAGTTTGAATGTAATTGGCTCCCATAAGCTCACAGGGAGTGGCACTGTTAGGAGATGAAGCATCACTGGAGTAGGTATGGCCTTGTTGGAGGAAGTGTGTCACTGTGGAGGCCAGCTTTGAGGTCTAATATATGCTCAAACCATGCCCAGCATGGCTTCCTGTTGCTTGTTCCTTCTTCATGCTCAGCTCCTTCTCCAGCATTATGTCTGCCTGCCTGTTGTCATGTCTTGCCATGATGATAATGAACTAAATCTCTGAAACTGTAAACCACCCCATTTAAATGTTTTCCTTTATAAGAGTTGATGTGGTCATGGTGTCTCTTCACAGCAACAGAAACCATAACTAAGACAATGGGGTAAGAAAACATATATCAGCATCCCATAGCCTTTACCTGGTGCATACTTTGGAGTGAACAGGGAATAAGAGATGAAGTTTGTGTAAGGGGTACGGTTTTTCCGCCCACCGCCTGGTATTGTCCTGCCACCGCGCCAGCCCCAAATAATACACAGAGACTCTGTCCCTGCTGTTGTTGTGGTCTGTCAAGTTCTCTTGGCCTTAGCCAAATCTGGGTGTACCAATGTGGCTGTGAGACCTAGGGTGACTGTTCAGGTGGCTTGCTGTTTCTGTCCTTGCTGCACCTTTTGGAAGTTGTCCATCCGCATTTCCTGTCTACTCTAGTATTGTTAATTTCCTTCTCAGGTCTGGATGAGGTTAAAGATTAAACTATCACAACTATTAGTCTCTCTTCCTAGTTAGATATATTAGGTGCTAGACTTACGTTTTCCAGCTAAGGACAACTCTATTGTAAACTCCATATTGCCCTCACCCTAGGACTAGATATGTAGGTCATTTTGTTCTCGATTTTCCTTTTCTTAGAGCACACTTGTTATTCACTGTTTTGTATATAGTTTTGTATTAAGCCTAAAGCTTTTCTTTAGACTAAAAGGGGAATTGTAGTGAGATAGTTCTGTGGCACTGACCACATCCATTGGGGGTGAAGCCATGGGCGGAGTGACCTGTGGAAGGAGGTTGGAGGGGGCCAGGAAAGGCGCTCTCTTTCTGGCGTGACTCGGACAGGAGAGGATCGGGTTGAATTTCCTGGTGTTCATCTGTCTAGGTTGTAAGTTATTTCTCCCTGAATAAACATCTATTCGGCCTATTTGTTTATCCTGATCCTTATTTATCGCGGTAAGTTTGCTTTCATTGTGGCCTCTAATTCTAACACAAAGCTCAGAAACTGAAAACCATGAGGCAGATATTGTTCCATGATGACTAACAAATAGCATAGAGGGAAAGTTCTTACCCTGGGTTGCTACAAGAAAAGGCAATTGCATGCCCTGCTTTTGATATTCCTTCATCGTGGAAATAAAAGAGGCTCCCACCTTGAAGTAGTTTAATGAATTCTTCATCTCAGTGACTTTCTCTTCCATAGAACATCTGCAGCTCTTGACCTTCTCCTCCAAAGCATATTCTCCATGTTGGATGCGTGTCAGCTCCTGCATTGCTTCTGTAAAACCAGTTTTCAGTTCCGAGGCCAGGGCCTGCAACTAAATAATTCAGGAAGCATGAATCAGACTTGCTGTGAATTATTATAAATGGCACTATTTCCTTTCTTTGAGAAAACATGTTCTTGAAAAATCTCAGATACTTCATTTATCCAACTCTAGAATCTTTTAAGTGACTCACCCCATTTGTCCAGGGAAAAGGTCATCTATGCAGTGTGCATTGAAGCTTGACAACTGACAACAAAATGAGCACTTGGTTCACAGGTACTCATGAATGCTGCCACTGTTAAAGAGCCCTTGACATAAGAATGAGGCATACTTAAACCGGGTGGTGGTGGCATAGACCATTAATTCCAGCACATGGGAGGCAGAGGCAGGTGGATCTCTGTCAGATCAAGGCCAGCCTGGTCTACAGAGTGAGTCCCAGGACAGATAGGACTACGCAAGCTTGTCTCAAAAAGAAAAAAAAAAGAAGAAACTGAGGCTTACTTGGAAAATAACATATGTATGTAAAAAGGCAATCCTGATCCAGCACCTAAATTCTGTGAGAGAAATTCAGCTACTTTCCCCCCAAAGAAGTAAAAAAATAAGACAGGGGCTTGAAGAACTGGCTCAGTGGTTAAGAGCACTTAATGCTCTTCTAGAAGACCCGATTTCGGTTTCCAGCACCTATGTCAGGTAGTTCACAACCATCTGTAACTCTTAACTGCAGGAGATCTGATACCTTCTGACCTTCATAAGCAGTTGCACATGCATGTGTGCATACAATCCACAGACACATACCACATACCACAAATAACCAAAAATAACCAAAAAATCTTTTTAAAAAGTAGAGTAATAAATATTAGTAAGAATTTCTTTGAAACTAAAAAGATAGGCTTTTCTTCTTTCTGGAGTCTTGATACCTGCCTCTGCCTCCTGAGTGCTGGGATTACAGGTGTGTGTCACCACCGCCTGGTGGTAATAGCATTTTTAACAATGGGCTTTGATGTGAGTCATCTTCAGTAGTCAAGCCAGAGCATGGGGAAGAGCAATCTCTGCACATGTGCTGATTAAACACCATGAGAGGGATCAATTTTAGATCCTAGCTTTCTTGAACAAGGATGAAGAACGTAGGCAAATGGCTAACCTCTGGGTAGAAGTTTGCTATCCATCATTATAATAATGACACCTATTTCACGGGGCTGTATTGAGTATGAAATAAGTAAATGTAAATCAGGAACCTCCCACACACATGCTTGGTTCAGAGCTGCTCCAAGTTTCTTATTCATCTCTTCTCTAGGTGGTAAATCAGAAAGGTAAACACAAACAGAACTGTGGAGAGAAGGGTGCACTTCTAAAGATTTGTTTTATTTACAATGCAAGTATAAAAGATAAGATACTCAACAGACACTAAATTAAGGTAACAGTAAGATAACATTGTTGTCTTGATTTTCATGATTCAATTGGACAAAGAACTCTTAGATTCCCATCTCTCTTCCAAACAGAAATATTCAGAAAGTGTATTCTATAATTTAAAATAGTATGTCTGGAGAGATGGCTCAGTTAGTAAGAGCACTTGTTACTCCTGCAGAGCAGTTTGGCTGCCAGAACCCACACCAAGCAGCTCACAACTGCCTCCAAGTCAATCTCCAGGAGATCAGAAGCCCTCTTCTAGCCTGCTCTGGCACTGTGCTCATACACACAAATCCACATTCAGACATGTACATATTCACATAATTTAACAATAAGACTATTTTCTACCAAGTAATTCTTCCTACTTCCTGCTCTTAATTTCCATATCTCAGTTTTTCTTCTTCCTTTCTTTCTTCCTTCCTTCCACTCTTTCTTTCTTCCTTCTTTTCTTCTTCCTTTCTTCTTTCTTCCTTCCTTCTTTCTTTCTCAGTTTCTTAAAACTCCTTGTAAGATGATTCTAATAGATAGCTCCCTTTTTTCCATCAAACTTCTCTTGAGCCTCAAACTAAATGTTCAGGAATTCCAACTTGGATTTTACACACCCTTCCCATTTCTTCCCAACATATTACCAAGGTTGGGAGCTACTATGAGGCAGACTCAAAGAGCTTTGCTGTGTTTTAGGTACTTTGTAAATTCATAAATGTTTAGGAAACTTCCACAAGTCATGTGAAATTCCTATAATCCCTGAGCAAGATCCCAAATGTGTTGGGGTCCCCTATGATGCCAAAGATGCCAAGGTAATTGTTTTATTTTTTTTCCTTTAACCAAACTGCCAAGGAAACCTTTTTGTTTTTGTTTTTTTCACTTTTTCTATCAACCTCCATCTTCTAGTTTTAGGTATCTTTATTGATCTTCAAAGATGCTGTGTTTGACCAAACATTGTGACACATACCTTTAATCCAAGCACACAGAGGCTTGTAGACCTCTAAGTTCAAAGCCAACCTGATCTACAAAGTGAGTTCCAGACAACCAGGGCTACACACAGAGAAACAATGTCATGAAAAAGGCACTGTGTTTAAAACACAAACTAAGCAGCCAGTAATTTAATTCTGAGAAGAAATGCCCTTATCCCTTTGTCTGCGTTCCTATGGAAGATGAACTACAGGTCCATTTACAGGGCCTGCTGAAGGTGAGGTAAAGCTGTTATGTAGACATTTCTCTTACTGACTCTGGCCTGCAAGAACTAACCACTCTGGTGTTGTGACTTTCCTCAATGCAGAAAGTACTGATGTCTAACAAGGCTGTATAAATTCCATTGATCTTCAACAATACACAACTAATTCCCATAGTTTGTTTGAGATATGGCCTTGTATTGTATCTCATATTAGCTTGAAACTCACTGTGTAGGTCAGGTTGGTCTTAAACTTGCTGTGATCCTTCTGTCTCCATCTCCTAAAGACTGGGATAACAGACATACTAGGGTAATACCATTAACCTGGCCCATAGTTATTCAATTAAAGGTCATTTGTACAGACAACTTATTTCTTTAAACTTCCTTTGTGGCAACATGGGAAGACAGAAAGTCATTGGGACAGGGAAAGGAGAGGGAGCTGCCCATTGCAGAGTCTGCTTGAAGTCTATGGTCAACTGAAAAGCAAGCATTCCAGTATTGTTACTGTTTGCTTCGAAGGTGGTTGACAGAGAGATGATACTTATAACAATAAAAGAGGCCTGAGGCTGAATAGATAGCCCAGAGACCCAGGATAGAATCAAACATAACTGGTTTTCTAAAAAGTCAATGAAATGATCCCTAATGATATTCTGTTATACTCATAGATCAATGCCTAGCCCAATCATCATCAGAGAGGCTTCATTTAGCAACTGATAGGAGCAGTTTAAGAGACCCACAGCCAAACATAAAGCAGAAACTGGGGAATCCCATTGAAGAGGGGTAGGAAGGCTATAGGATCCAGAGGGGTCAAAGATACACCACAGATTCAACTAAGCAGGGTTCACAGGGGTTCAGAGACTGAAGCATCAAGCACAGGGCCTGAATGTGTTTGAGCTAGGACCTCTGTATATATGTTATGGTTGTGTAGTTTGGTGTTTTTGTAGAAGCTTTACTATGGTGGTTTGAAAGAAAATGGCTTCCAAGGAAAGTGGTACTTTTAGGATGTGTGGCTTTGTTGGAGTAGATGTGGTATTGTTGAAGGAAATGTGTCTCAGTTCACTTTCTGTTAGCTGCAAATCAAGATGTAGAATTCTCAGCTCCTTCTCCAGCACCGTGCCTTTTGCATGCCACCCACTATGAAGATAATTGGCTAAACCTATGAACTATGAGGTAGCCCAATGAATTGTTTTCCCTTATAGGAGTTGCCATGGTCATGGTGTCTCTTCACAGTAATAGTAACCCTAACTAAAACACATACTTTGGGGTTTGTCATACTTTCTTCCTGAGCACCTAGCTCTCAGCCTGGACCTTAAAACCTATGTCATGGTCTCTTTCACTGAACTCCAGCTCTATCCCACACTGCCTTTTCCTGAAATTCTTTTCCCATGGTGTGACTAAGGATCCAGTTATACCTGAAGAAGTCCCTGAAAATAACTTTTTGGGTGTCTGAGGGAGATAATTGGAGCTATGTGTCTCTGTCCCCCTGACACTAACATTTCTATTCCAGAGAAAAATAGACAATTTTGAAAAGTGAGAATTGACCTAACTCTTATTATTTTAACATGTCATTAACATCCATATTTCTGCCTGTTACAGTACATTAACAAAGATATTTATAGGCTAAGATCACATAATAGAGATCTCCCTTTTTGCCCCTCATTTTTTTTCTCCTAGATTCCTGTTTGTTTGGGTTGGGTAAGGGTTTTAAAACAGAACCTCAGTTCTGCTGCCTATACTCCTTCCTAGATTGTTTGTTCTGGTAATACAAGGTCTCATGTGACCCAGGCTGGCCTTAAATTTGGTCCTCCTGCTTTTGACTTCCCCAGATTGCTATGTGCTGGCATTTAAAAGTCTGTGCCACTATCCACCATATCCAGCTTGACTTTTTTCCTACTTAACCTTTTAAGAAACATTTAAAGTTTGTTTTGATTAAAGAAAACTACAAATCCCAACACTATCTCCCACAAGACTGAATGACTGTGTCAAACCCTTTAGCATAAAACAATATGCACACCTTCCAGATCATCACTCACTGTCCAACTACTATTTACTGACTACAAATTATATGTCAAGTCTGTGGTTTATGCTGACAGTACCTAGAGCAAAGCTTGGAATTAACAGACTTGGGAAATGCTCTTTTAAAACAAAGATGGGTCAAGCATTGGTGGCACATGCCTTTAATCCCAGCACTAGGAAGGCAGAGGCAGGTGGATCTCTGTGATTTCCAGGCCAGCCTGGTCTACACATCTAGTTCCAAGACAGCCAAAGCTACATAGAGAAACCCTGTCTTAAATAACAAAAAAAAAAAAAAAAAAAAAAAAAAAAGGGTCATCAAGGCACAGCAGAGACCATATAGACCAAACGCTCTTTCCCAGCTTCAAGCACTCCATTGTGAACAGATGCACTTGGATTTGTGACACAGTAAAATAATGAGGCCATCCCCTCTGCAGCTAAATTTAGCGAACATCAAGGGAGTGACCCACATATTTATAATAGACTCTAAAGAGGCACTCATGCAAAGGTCATAGGCAGGTCAGAGGAGAACTTGGGTGAGCATGGAAGGCATCTAGAAGTCTAGGACTAGTGAGGTATCACATCAGCATTGAGAAGACCTACCTCCACCCCAGGCTCTGCTCAAGCTGGCCACCCTGTCAGAAGTAGTCTTTCTTAGTAGGTCACTGTCCAGTGATTGGCTTGTCCTTGGATATGTCACTCAAGTCTTGTAGACAACAATCCATCTCTGTCCTACTGAATTGTATCAATGCCTTCAATGTAGCCTTTTCAAAACCATGCCTCATATGAGCCATTTGTCGATGTATTGATGTATTTTCAAGGTTGTAGACATTTAAGAACAAACAAACAAGGAAGACTGTTTCATCTGTTTAATATCTCATTAGGCTAAGCAGCAGATTTTGCACATAAATATTCACCAAATGTGAATGGCATTGAAAGGAGGCTGTTTCTTCTGCTCCCTCCCATTGCTGGTCTAAGAGCAACACGACTAACGTTTTCTCTCCTGCTGTTGGCTCACTCTAGTTAGGCCCACAGCAATCAACTCTTGCAGAATGCTTCTGGAAGCTAGCTGTTGAGTTGCCTTTACCAGCATTTAAACTAAACTAATTTAAATAATATTTCACCTGAGCTGTCTGTTCCCCTGGACTCCTGTCTTCCTGCTTGAAAGGGCCTAAAAACCCAACTTGAGATGGCACAGTAAGTAGGTGGAGGTATTTGCCTCTGAAACCAGACAATTTGAGTTCTATCCCAGAGACCCACATCATAGAAGAGAAGTGACTGCCACACATATACTGCACACAGACACACACAGACATATATTAATAAGTAAATAAATGTTTAAAAAATAAAATAAAATAAACTTCCCCCACCCCCAGACCTACTAAGCTTTGTCAGTTTTTTTTTTTTTCTCGAGTTTTCCAGGTAATGGTGTTAAGTCCAAAGAGAAGCACAAAGCTCCAAAATATGGCAGTGTAAATATCTGTAATTGCTAAGGACAGAACTTTAATTCAATTTCTGGTTAGAGTTGGCAGCCTGCTAGAATGCTTGTCATGTTGTCTTTGTAAAGAATCTAATTATTGCCATCATTTAAAATGAACTTAATTATTTTCCCTGTCACCATACTTGAATTTGTAATGCTAACACTCTTAATTCTCAGTTCTCCCTGAGGGAGTTGGGGGGGGCTGTAATTAAGAAAAAACATCATAAAAGGTCTCACTATATAATCTAGGCTAGGCCTGAACTTGTTAAACTTGTGTCTTAGGGTTCCCGGTATTAGGAGTTATGGTATGCACCACCACACCTGACTGAGAAAAGGTAGCTCTACCTGTGTCCTCTCTGATGACAATGCCATTCACTGCCTGGTGTGATGACCACAATGACAGTGGTGTAGGCAAGAAGAGTAGAGCAGGTGTGGGGTATGGATGCTATGTTTTATAGAGTAACTTTTCCTATGACAACCAGTTCTCTCAAATGAATAATGTGAGTGGCCTCTGCCCTACCTGTCCCTTGGCCTTGTTAAGAGAATAAATGTCAGGACACATGTGGAAGGACCTATGTGTTAAAAATTTCTGTGCATGAAGGACAGTCACCATTATTCACATGATGGTATTCACAATAATGTATTTGTTGTTACCTGGTAAATCTGTGTGGAAGGGCTATTCACCGGCATATGTTCATTCTCTCCTGCAGGAAGAAAGAGCCTTGTTCAATCACCATAACTTGCTCTATGTCTGTCCTACTCTCACTGGATTCTGGAGGGAATAAACACATTAGAGGATCCTCTAATTGTGCCTGAATGACAAGAACCAGATGATTCTAGAACAAAAACAAAACAAAACAAAATACCCCAATGGCCAAACTATGCCTACCTGACAAAATTGTCAATAGTAGAAAACCCTTTCTTGCCACAAAAGAGAAGATTCTCTGCCAAACTCAATGATTGGCAATCGTTACCTGGATACCCTGGGGGTGTCTCCCTCACATTCTTAAGGATAACTGAAGTTTACCTGAGCTGACATCTGCTCTTTGCCAGGGTTACGGTTGATAGTAATTGTCAACTCTTCACTTTGGAGTCAGACTTCTGGGGACATTTGTGAGTGACTGCCTAGATTAGGTTTAGCCTCTGAAGATGACTTCTCAGGATTGTCTTGGTTAAGTTAATTCTTGAGGAAAGACTCATGCTAATTCAGGGCAGTACCATTCCCTGAGCAGAGTGGAAATCTTGAACTGTATACAATGAAGAGTAATGGCTTGGTGATTAAGAGCCCTTGCTCTCTTGCAGAAGACACAGGTTTGGTTCCCAGCACCCGTATGATTGCTCACAGCCATCTCTAACTCATGTCCTGGGGGGGTATGTTACCCTCTTCTGACCTCTGCAGGCACCAAGCAAACATGTGGTGCACAAACATATATGCAGGCAAAACACTCATACACATTAAAAAGAAAAAAAATCATTTTTTAAAGGGAGAGGGTAAGCTGCAGGCAAACATTGATGTTCTGCTGTCTGCTCTTATGTGTGGCTGTCATGTGACTGGTTCTCTCAGGCACCTCCTGTCATGACTTCCCTGCCATGATCAACTGGAACCTGGAATTATGAGCAAATAAGGCCCATCTCCCTCAGGTTGCTTTGGTCAGAGTATTATACAATAGCAACAGGAAAAGGAGATAAGTCAGCCACATAGGTGCCTGGCTATAATGTACTGATCTCAGGAAGAAACAAAATGTTCCTACTTCTAACTCTCTACAATCATTGCCCAATTTCTGCACTCTGCCCTCACCTCACTGCCACAATCAGCAGAGGGACTCTTGTCCAGCTAGGCAGGAGGGCTGATGGGAAGGAATTGTCAGTGGAAAGTTTCTGGAAGATTATAGGCAGAAAGAAAACTATTGCCATTACTTGAGTCTGGAGCCACAGGAAAACATGGGATTAATAGAGCAGGCTGTAAAAATCACTTACAACTCAGGGGAAAACCACGTTGGCTTAGAAACTATCTTTCAGAGTATTTTGCTGCTATCCCCATAGAGGATCATGTTGCACAAGTAACTCTCTTGAAACTCCTGCCTGCAAGCCTTTGGCTGCATGCATGTGCATTTATTTTTCTCCTTAGACATACTGGTATGGAAAGCCATACTTAGAGGAGCCAGACTTCATATAGTAATGTCATAACTAATATATTACCTCAGTCTAGACCTTATACCTGGTAGAGGCTGTCTCTATTAATCCCAATGGTTTGAGATTACCAAACCTCCTCATACAAGCTTGAATAAGGACAATTTAGCTCATTTTATACTATGTCCAAACAGATGGCAAGAACCAAGACTGAAACAAACAGACCAGGACCTCAGGCCTAAATTTGACATTTTGTAGTTGTCACCTGATTGCCCTATGACTGTTTTCTCCATTAGAAACAATAACAGTGACTTCTATATATATATATTGCTTCTGCTAGTAAACAATGAAAAGGGAATCCACTTGTTCTTCTAGGAGGGCCTAGAAGGTGCTGGGGGTCTATTAAAGTAATGGACCTTATTCAACATGTCCTGAGGCAGTCCTAAGTCATTGAGGCAAAAGGAGAAAGACTCAAGCCATATGTTACATCAATGGCATTTTTTGCATTCCAGCAAGTCTGTGTTTTTCAAAGTCTCCAAGGTGATGATGAGAAAATAATATTTGGAAACAGTGACAAGACAGATTAACTCCTGAATTTCCTGAATCCCCAGATCAAAAGCAAGATGGAGATCTGACCTTGCTTTGTTTTGTTTTTTTCCATGGTGCCTGCTACTTTTCTCCTCCAGCTCACTCTTCAGCATTGCATCATCCTCGTCCTGTATCCAGCCACCTCCCCTTCCCTGCACCTGCCAATTAAAGAATAAAGGATATATGGTAGTACTAGACTAATTTTATGGGTTAGCTTTTAAATAACACAGCTGAAAGCTAAACAATTTCAGAAGAATAAATTATTAAATTGAGTAAACCTCCAGTCAGATGCTAGAGAATGGTTCAGCAGTTAAGAGCACTGGCTGCTCTTCTAGAGGACCCAGGTTCAATTCCCAGCACCCACAATGACAGCACAAAACTGTAACTCCAGTTCTATAGAATCCAACATCCTCACATAGACATGCATGCAGGCAAAACACCAATGCACATAAAATAAAAATAAATAAATTACCTTTAAAAGGAAAAACTTAGCTGGGTGTGGTGGCACACACCTTTAAATCCCAGCAGTCAATGGGCGGAGGCAGGAGGATATCTACTGTGCAACAATCTTTGTACACTGTAAATATGTATTACTCTCATTGGTTAATAAAAAGATGACTGGCCAAGGGCTTTCAGGACAGAGAGAATGCTGGGAAGAAGATGGGTGGAGTCTGAGGAGATGCAAGGAAACATAGATGAAGCTGAGGAACATGTTGTGTTGAAAGAGGGTACCGCCAAGTGGCAGAGAGAGTAGACAAGTAATACACATTCATTTAAGTTATAAGAGCTAGCTAAAAAGCAAGCCTGAGCTATTGGACAAGCAATAAGTCCCTGTGTGGTTATACAGCTTGTGGGACAAAAGCTCTTGTACAAATTTCTGTGAGTTTGAGGCCAGCTTGGTCTACAAAGTAAGTTCCAGAGCAGCCAGGGCTACATTGAGAAACCCTGTCTAGAAAACAAACAAACAAAAAGAAGTCAGATATTTTAATTTGTTATTATTGGGGAGGGGTACATACCATGAAGTGAACATAGGATGACTTGTGGAGTCAGGCTCTGTAGGTGACATGAGCCAAAGATGGCCCTGAGGGAAAGTCAGATGGGTGAGTCCTAAGTTGTTCACAAAAAAAATATGACTGGTTGCCTTGATGGAACCAGATGAGGTCACTGCATGAACAGTTTGTGTTCACTAGGTAAAGTGTAGGGAGCCTAAGTGTGTGATAGGCTGACCTTTAAAACCACTGGCTGGCTGTTTTCCCACTCTGTGTTTATTTTTGTTTTTTTTTTTTTTTCTTTCTTCCTTTCCTTCTTTCTTTCTTTCTTCCTTTCTTTCTTTAAGAGATGCTTGCTATGGGACAATAAACAAGTTCTTGCTTCTAGACTACCCACTGCTTCTGACTGTCTCTGGGATTCTGGGAGGCTGGGAAATGGGCCAGCAGTACACTCAGCTTTCCATGGTTGGACTAAGAGCCTGTATCTGGTGCATAAAGGACCCTATAGCGAAGGCTAAGAGGTGTCTGAGAGTGAGACCCTCAGTATATGTAATTCTATTTTTAGTAAGAAGGGAAAAGGGAAAGGACAGGAGAAGTCCGCCAAAGATGAGACAGAGGAGGGATGGGTCCTCCTCAGATAACTCCAGACCCTTGCCTTACACTCCCAGGAGCAAGGAGGCTGAGCCCTCCCATACTGCCCTCAGGGACCTGGACATCTATGATCAACCAGACAATGGCAAGTCGAGACCTGGAGGCCTGGTTTATGTGGAGGCATACCCAATCAAAGAGGGATGGGAAAATGCACCTAGGAAATCCCCCCCCAAGCCTACTCAATAAACTTGGACCCTGGGCCAAGCAGGACTCTAGACTGGTATCCTTGGGAGGCCAAGGATCTTAAAGAGCTCTGCAAGGCCAAGGCAGAAGATGGCTCTAAACCCCTTGAGCACAGACCCTGTTACAGGAAATCACCTATTATCTGTGTGTCCTCAAGGACTAGCTGTATGTGGCTAAGGCAGTCCTCCCTAGTTCTCAGTTTATCAAATGGTGTACCTTTTATAAGCAGGAATGTAGGGTGTGAGCTGAGGCAAATAGGCAAGCTAACCTGTCATCCCTATTACCTATGCTATGCTGTTGAGAATGGAAGATGGTTAGTTACTCCACTGGAGTCCAGCAAGCAGAAGTCCCTGGATCGTATTGGGATCAGGTGAGGCAGGCTGGATTGAATGCCTAGGCTAAACTAGATGATGGGCCTACTCAGTCCCCCATAGCTGGGGTGAGGCAGAAGCTCAGAAAACCTTTGCCAGAGTTTATAGACAAGATTCAACAGAGCATTCAGCGCAAGCTGCCACCAGGAGACCTCAGAGAACAATTTATCAAACTGCTGGTATGGGAAGGGATCAATGGGGACCATAAAATGGCCTGCATGGGATTAAAAGGCAATTCCCTGAGCAGTTAGCTAGTAGCCTCCCAAGATGTAGGTACCCAACAACACCAGTCCCAGTCTCTGGCCCTGGCCTTATAGGCACAGACAACCACTATGATGGAGGCTATCACAGGCAACCCAGAGTCAAGGGTCCTTGACACCACCTGGAAAAAGGACATGCTTTAGAGACTGTCTTCAACAACTACCCCAACAGGCCAGGAGGGGCTAAGTACCCCTCAGTGCAGGAAGGGATAACATAGGAAGGAGGACTGTATATCAAAATTTGACCTGGAGGGGAAGCCTTTAAACTAGAGGAGGGGCAGCCTCCAGACCAATTAAAAACGAGAAAGCATCTCTAAATGTAGAATTGGAAGGCCTCATACCCCAACAACACAAGCCCACTGGACTTCCTCCTTGATTGAAGGAATTCACCCAAAAATTACCATTTTGATAGGCATTAAAAAGTTTCACTATTTGGTAGACCCAGGGGCAGACAGGACAATGCTCCAGGAGGAGCATCTGGGAGCTTGCACATGGGCTCTTGGTTTTGGGGGTGGGAGGTAACTCCCAGTCAAGAGAAACAGTGGCCTTAATGCACTGAGCCAGCCCAGACAGGGTCCAAGGAAAGATATGACCCTTAGTGGTCAAAGGCCTTACTGACATGCTGGGTCAAATGGACACTGTTGTGACCACAGATCATCAGGCTTTTCATAAGGAAGAGAATGAAGCACAAAGGGTGGGAAAGGACCTAAAAGGGGGGGGGGAGTCACAAAGAAGGATTTTTTTCAACCTCCACAACTACAGGGGGGAGCCTAAGAGGTCTATCTGGGTATACCCCAATTACAGGATCCACTGCCCCCCCCCCAGAGTGCCACCTATCAGATGAGCACTGAAAGTCCTTATGTGTGGAGCAGTGCCTAAGCTTCATAAGCTAGTGGATGAACAAATAATGCCCTTCTATGAGCCCTGGTGTTTGTAATTCAAAAAGCACATGCTCTAAGATTTGCCAAGATAAATATGGAACTGGTGGGCACCCCCTTTAGGGACATGCCCTGGACCACTGCTATTACCACAGAATATACTTTATGGTAATTGATATTAAAGATTGCTTCTTTTTTATATTGATACATCCAGAGGATTGTGATAAATTTGCCTTCTCTGTTCCTTCACTTAATTATTCCAAGCCTGATCAACATTTTGAATGGGTAGTGCTACCACAGGGAATGGCTAATAGCCTGGCTTACTGTCAACAGTATCTTGCTACTCTCTTAAGGCCTATGCTAAGTCAAAGGATTCAATAATATATGCTTATATGGATGATTTAATTTTGGGAAATCGGGATCCAGATATCTTGAGGGCTTTGTGACACAGGAGCTCCAATTGCTTAAAAAGGGGGCTTTACTGTGGCCCCATAAAAGGTCCAAAAGTTCCTTCAAAGTATTTGGGTCGCACCTCATGCTGATACAGGCTAGCCCACTTAAGCCTGTTCTGGAGGTGACTGAGTCAATGACACTAACCCAGCTCCAGTGCTTACTGGGGAATATTAATTGACTTAGATCCTGGGGGTCAATCCCCATGAAGACCTGGAGCATCTACATGCTCTGCTAAAGGACAAGGCACCTTATGATAGTATAACTATGACAAAGGAACACCGCAAGGTGCTCCTTGTCTTTCAAAAAGCCTTGGACAATCTTGGAAGCTGTCTCTGTGGGGGTGCAATTGGAACCAGCTGACCAGCCCCAAGTTTGTACCTGAGAGGTGGGGGTGTGGATGAGGAAACGGTTAGCTATAGACAGACACAGAATAAAAGTCAGGAGGGCAGATTTAGATTAAAAAAAGACAGCCATCTTTTCAGTATTTGGGACATATGGTGCCCAAACAAGGGGCTGAGTATGGGGGACATAAATAATGGACATATGGCACCGCACCGCAACGTGAGGCCATACAGACAGCGCCAACATATGGTACCAAACGAGAAACTGGGTATGGGGGATAGAAATGATGAACACCGCAGAGAAATAGACAGCATGGGTGTATGAGTGTGAAGAGAATGCTTGGATAAAAGAAATAATGTGTGGTGAGTGAACATCAGGAGTAAAACTGTATATAATTGTAGATATGAAACAGGAAAATATTAGTCAGATGATAAAGAAGTGAAGTATAGTTAGTTAACCTTGAGAGTGAAAATATGTATAATTGTAGATATGGAACAGAAAAGTATTAGATGATAAAGAAGTGAAATGTGGTGAGTTAGCCTCTGGAGTAAAAATGCATATAATTGTAGATATGAAACAGAGAAATATTAGCCAGATGATAAAGAAGTGAGTGAGTTAACCTCAAGGGTAAAAATTATATAATTAGAGATATGAGACAGAAATATTAGTCAGATGATTGTATATTTACTTGGGTATATTTTAATAACCAAGAGAGCTGGAGTAAAGCAGAAGCAAGTACAGACATGTTTAGAATTTATAAGTTTTGTAAGGATCCTTCCCCCTTGCAGAAGTCACTGCTGCCCCAGCTGTCTCAGAGCTGCACCAGAGAAGCAAAGGTGTGGCCCCACATACGCATTAGGTCAGCAGGTTGTTGACCTTTCAAGAAGCTGCAGTCACAGATGAGCCACAGTGGGCCAGCCCAGGCCCAGAGAGCAAAGGCAAGATAAGGCCAGGCCTAGCCAAGAAGCCTGCAGCCTTAGGAGCTGCTGCCATGATTGATGACCAGCCAAGAGTATAGAAAAATTAATG